CCGTGATAGTCTACGACGCAGTCCCACTTCTGGTTCTCATCACTCAGCTGCGTTGAGTGACGAGAAATCTTCAGCATTCGTAGGAATCGTTGAGTAACGATTACAGTAGACTAGTTTCAGGTCATTCGATTGAAATTTGCTGATTTATCGAATATATTTTTATATATTATTTATCTATCATCCTGGTTGGTGGTGGTGCCAGGATAAAAATGGTGATAGGAAGTGTGGACGCTGCAGAAAGTCGGAACCTGGTTAATCTGAAATGTTCCGAGTCGTCTTATCCGGATGAAAAATATATCAACATGTTTATTCTAAATGAGGCCGGAGGGCATCTTCACCAACTCAACTCTCAGTGGTGGTAGCTTGTCAGTGGGGCAGTTCTATCAAATTTCTCAGAACCGCTTGCCGCCTTACTTAATCGGGTTTCGAGGTACTCCGATGGCGTCCCGGGTGTGTATCGTGTTATTGGGCATACCAATGGCTGCTACGCATCTCTTACCATGGACTCTCGTATCGCGTATATGCTCAACACCCCAACTGGCTGATCATAGGTAGATGATGCTCATAGGATTGTAACATGTTTTATTGGTTTTCATAGAGCTCGCCTGACAACTGTGTTCAACCTCTCGCAGTGTTGGCCGGAAATGACGATGAGCGCAATTGCAGGAGTTGTCTTTTCAATTCCTGGTAGGGGTAGAGTCTAACTCGAGGAAGTATTATTTTGAATAGTTTTCAGGTGGGTCCATCCGGGTGGTACTGCTAGTCGCCAGCGTGTCGGCTTTTATATCGAGTGTGTTAGCGTGGAGGGTAGTGGACTATGGCCCGGCAACAGATGGGGCCAACTTGATGAAGTAGAGTCGCATTGGATATCAATTGGATATAACTTCCAACTGTTGGCGTGTTCTGAGATGGTGATGTATGTGTCGATGATTCTGTGGGATCTTATCTTTTCATTGAAGCGAACTTTTGGTCATTTTCAAGACAAATGGACTATATTGAATTTTAGAATAAATATTTGAATATGAATAATCAACATAAATTCAAACGGCTGCGCACGGTCATCTTATCTCACGCATCGATGAATCGATCGAAAGTTGGGTATAGCTAGGCAAACTATCAGTGCGTATCTGTTGCATCGATGCATCGGTCATGTTAAAAAATCGCTCGACTCGCCGAGAAGTCAGTCTTTCCTTATTTGTAGGAGAAAATGTATGCGCATTAGTGATGGCAGGTACACGAACATCACCGAGGAAGATGGTTTGGAATTGTCAACAACAGCGCGACTCGGCGACCCACAACCTGTGGCCTTGGGTGTTGAGGCCGATCATGTGTGATTTTAATGAAAGCGTTTCCTTCTGTTCGTCTTTTTGCGTGTTCATAAGTATTAAATTGTACAACTGCATATGATATGATTCACATTATGATCACATTCTTATTATATCATTGAATGCCGCATAAAAAAGCCGCGCAGAGGATCCGCCTATGACCAGTGCGTTCCAGCTAAAAGTCGCTGAGTATGCACTCTATGTCCTTATAACGTATGAATTTGCAGGGACTAGATGCTCAAGTGGTAGCGAGAGAGTTGAGACCCGTCGAAGAGAGTCCTGAATGAATGCATGAGGAAATACTGTTTAGGTCGAAGTGTGCGACATGGCAGTGTACGAAGCACGTAGTTCTTCCGCCTTACGACCAGTACGGTTGGTTTTGTCACTACATACTTTACCTCGGTGAGAAGGATCGTTTGCGTTACACCAGTCACGGGACAGACTACCAGGATTCGAACTCAAGAACATTCAACATGGCTCGAACATCGCAACTATGAGTCTTCTCTGACAATACCTCCGAACGCCTCAAGACTCTCGACCACAACAACGACGCCTTCTACAATCCCTCATCAAATCGCGCCTCGAACACAGACCTCTGTGAGCTCCCTCCTCATCAAAGCGTCTTCCCCGACCGATATCAACGCAGCCGATTCTGACCACCGAGTCGATGGACTGCACCCTGTTTGTGCCCTCTTGAGTCTTGAGCGGTACACATGCCTCGAGGACTCATCAGGAGCCCTCAAGAATGAGAATAACTTTCAGCCGAATGACCTTCCCTCTTGTGACAATCCTCAAACGCATCTTACTGTGGCTGCCAAAGACACCCTGCCTGCCGATGTGCTGCTGCATCAAGCGTGGTGATTCATTCACTACCGAACTCAACCACTACAATTTATCATCACTATTCACATTACTGCCCGCACAAACAGGCATCTACTACATCTCGTACTTTACCCGCCGATGTCGTCATCATCGAACCTTCTCTGCTTAGAATCTTCCGAGGAGATAAACGATCGAATGCCTCACACCTTCATAAGACTCTTAGTAATGAGAATGTGTAACGCGCGATAAGCAGCTCCAGTTCATCGCAGTGCATCTTGCGTTGTGTCTCCTCTAATATTACATTGCTAGGCTTAACTTGGATTAATCAGAAGGATTGTAATAATTAGTGATAATTTGCCATACCATCCATCCCCCACATCTGCCCGTCAACACCCCGTTCCATGAACACAACATCCAATGTGAAGCTACAGATAGTTTTTATTATGGAGTTGACTGCGCTGAATAGTGATGATAGCGTAACCGTCGCTCGAGAAGTAATAGTACCAAGGAAGAGGAGGAGGAGGTAATGATAGCACTATGAATGGTAGCATTTAATATGATGATGACGGACCTCTGCACGCGCGAGAGTTTCCAACAATGCTCCTGCTGGGGTCAGACGCTTATGACAGTGTCAATGACGATTGACTCGAGCAACTCTCGAGTAAATATCACCAGCTGATACTCAATAATCTTCGCAGTGCGCTGCAAAGATACCATCGTCTACAGTGAACGAAGACCATACCAGACGATTAGCAATAAAACGACCTTCCTCCCAAATCGTTATTATTATTATTATTTTCTGCCAACCGATATCACCTTGCGACGACTCCGCTGTTGCTGCTGTTGTCGGCCGGGTTGGTGGCCCTTCACTTTAGCAGTCTTCAAGACGATCCCATGAGCCGCCATTTCATGAGCTAAATTCTCTTCAGCACTTTCGAGGTGCTGTTCACTCTTAGACGGGGGCCGGGATGAACCCCAGTTAGAAGAAGACGATGCAGCTACACCCTTCGACGGTTTACCCATTTTAGGCATCTAAATGCTCGTACAGTACCCTTCCTCCCCCTCCCTGATTGAACCCTATCACCTTGCCCATCTTCCTCTCCTTTTTACACTGCTTATGCTGTGCAGCCTCGCAGGGTAGAGGGGCGTTACTCAAACGCTCTTTATACTCTTCATCTAGTTGGGCTTGCATTCGCTCAGCGATTAAACGATCGTGCTCCTGAGGGTTTCAGCTTATACCATTGAAAGCAGTGTGGTAAAGTATACACATGATCAACTACATGTGTTGGTGACAATATGAAAATTCTGAGGAAATTCTTGTTGGTTTCGGAGCATTTCTATCCAACGTTGAATGTATACTTTCATAATTAGTGAGGAAACTTGAGTTACCAACCGAGAGAAAAAAACATATATTCCTCCAACACTGATTGAACGATGAAAAAAACCCCAACCGCGTTTTTGCTACTTCTTGAACTGTTTTATCCAAAATATTACACGCCTGTTGACGATGATCACTTATCGTCGGCTGACGAGACTACACTGAAGGTTCACCACACCCCATAGAGGTGGCCACTACCTGGTGATACCCTGGACCAGCAAGGCTATAGTCGGCAGCTCTCTCATACAATGCACTCCGCGTCGCTGTAGAGAAGAGGGGATCTGCCACTACTGGAGGGTAGGATGTTGATGATGCCGACCTCTCCACGAGTTGCGGATCTTGATTCGTTAACCAGGATAGGTCCGTAGGGTATGTCCTGATGGTTGTGAAATATTAATAGTGCAGACAGGTCGTGGAAAATGCCATAAAAAGTGTACTTCGGTCGCTTCACCCCCAGGGCAATCGATTCGTTGAGTCCCGATATGTATAGTTTTCAATCATGAAAAATAGATATCATGGATTACTCCCGAGTAATTTAACTTTAATGCATA